GCAGGGGAGGGAGAGCTGCACATACATGGAAACCTTTATGAAGAGTGTACAAGACAGCTGTAAAGCTGCCTCAAAAGATGGGACTTTGCAGGCATTTCTGCATGAAACCTCAGACAGCTTAAGATTTCATGTCCTTTTCAAGTCTGAATAAGCATGGTAGGATTCCAGTTTTGTGAGCTATCCTTTAATTGTGTGAGCAGATTCACATTCCAGTGCCACAAAGCAGCAACAAATCAAAGCTAAGTGGACAATGGTGTTAGGCTGCCTGCTTCCTGTTTCCCGTATTTGGAATGAGCTTCAAGACAGGCAGGCCTGTATGGGATAAAATGACTTGGCATGATCTCCAGAAGAAACTGAGAATAGTTAGATAAGCCAAATTAAACAATAGAGTCTCAGCTGTGTGACAGGTAAAGAACACCATGAGTCTTTCTAGATAAGTGTGATAAACTCCTCAAATTACTATTATCCTGCAGTGTGCTTGGTGCAAGGGTGGGTAGAGAAAATATAGTTCTATGGCTTTTTGCATCTCAAGTCATTTTTTGATGTAAACAGGGTTACATACACCTCAAGCTAATGTGTGTCTGTTCATATCAGAATTTGAATAGAAATGAATATATACTGGCTATCACTTCGTTTAAAAACCAGCTTCCCAAAGCAGAAATCATGTTTCTATGGTGGTATAAAGACAGCAATTAAATCTTCTTTCATAGCAATTGCAATCTTTTCCCCTCTTACATAAATGGGTTTAAACAAACATTCATAAAGTTGGATAATTTGTAGGATGGTTCAAGTTGGAAGGAAGCCCAGGAAGTGTCTAGCCCAACCTCCCATTCAAAGCAGGGTCAGCTCTTAGGTCAGAAGCAGTTGCTCAGGGCTTTATCCAGTCCTGTTTTGAAAGCCCTCAAGGATGGAGAATACACAGTCACTCTGGGCAACTGCCTGTCTTAATGGGGAAAACATTTATCCTATCTGATGTCTACCTCTCATTTCAATTTGTGCCTGTTGCCTCATTCCCTGTGCACCACTATGAACAGTGTGGCTCCATTTCTCCCTCCCACAGGTATCAGCAGGCTGTTGGTAGATCCTCTGAAACCTTCTCTTCCCCAGGCTCAACAGGTCCAACTCCTTCAGCCTCTCCTCCCAGGTAAAGTACTCTAGCCCCTAACCATCCTGGTGAACTTCTGCTGAGCTTGCTCCACTTTACTGCCTTTCCTAAACAGAGTGAGTATGAGCTTTCCTTACCCATGAGGGTAAGATTAAAGAAAAGCATGGCACTGCACACCAAGATACCAGAGGATGGGTACCTGCTAATGCCAGCTTCAGGGCCTTGAACACACAAGGCTTCTTCTGGGAGCTCTCGTAGAGGGCCGGCAGAGCGATGGTCTTGCAGGTCGACTGAAGGAAGAGGTAAGCGCTGCCAATCCAAGGAGCAGAGCTGCCTGCCATCTTCAGCACCCTACAAAATCACACAGGCAACTTTAGAGACCATAGGGGAAATGGCCTGAAGCCAGGGGAGTGCTACAGCACAAACACGACTTAGGGGGATTTACTCTTATTTCTTAAGAGGAATGTGGATGTTGCTAAAGCAAGCGTAAGCTCTGAGGGGTTTGCTGTTACTCTGCAAAGCACACCACAGTAGGACACCGTATCCCAAAGACAGCAGCTCACAAAGCTTCGCTTTCATTTTCCACCGGAGTCCATTCATTTTATAGTCCAAAGATACTCGGAAGCAGAGTTTCAGTCCCTGTGCTTCTGACTGACTAGCCAAGCTGGCAAAATGTGAAATGACTGAAGTGCTCCAGGGACCTCCCAGCAGTCCGGTCTCTGGCATGTTCCCATGGACTGAAGCCCTATTGCAACCAGAGACGTTCTCCTTAAGTTCCTGGTCCTCTGATTGTTCACAGGGCCCAGAGCATTTGTAACAGGACACTCTACACAGGCTGGACAAGGGTAATAGTTTTAAAGTAAAAGAGGGTAGATTTAGATTAGAATCAGGAAGAATTTTTTTACAGTGAGGGTGGCAAGGCACTGGCACAGAGAAGTGGTGGATGCCTCATCTCTGAAAATATTCAAGGCCAGGTTGGACTAGGCTCAGAGAGACCTAGCTGAAAATGTCCCTGGTCACCACAGAGGAGTGGAACCAGATGGGTTGGAAGGGTCCCTTCCATTCGGAGATTCTGTGACTCAGGGGGTTCCCCTGTGCTTTGTTTAAGCCCTTCGTTCTTGCGTCTCGGCAGCGTTAACCCAGAGGGTGAACCTTCCCGTCCAGCGAGCACTGCCCCAGCCCAGTCCCCGCTCGGCGGTCAAACCGCTGTGGGGTGCTTTAAACAACCAGCCCCGGACGGTAAAGTCACATTTGGTCACGGTTATTGCCTTTTCCCTGACTCCTGCGGGCGTCAGGCCGCTGGTGCTCAACTCCCGTCACAGTCTCGCTGGGAGGGGGCTGTCCCTAAGGGAAAGGCGCTGGAGCAGCCGCCAGCCCCGTCCCGCTGCGCAGTGCCGCCCGCGGGCCCGGCGGCTGCCCCCGCTGCCCGTGTCCGCTCGGTCCCGGTGTCCGCTCGGTGCCCGGTATCTGCTTGGTCTCGGTGTCCGCTCGGTGCCCGGTATCTGCTGGGTCCAGGTGCCCACTCGGTGCCCGGTATCTGCTCGGTGCCCGGTGCCCGCTCGGTACCCGCTGCCCGCTCGGTGCCCGGTGTCCCCCAGCCCGGCACCGCGCCGGTCCGGCCCTGCGCTATCCCGGCGGCCCCGCCCGGCCCCAGCCCCGCTCCCCCGGCCCCGGCCCGCGGCAGTCCCGGCCCGCCGGCCCCGGGCGGCTTTACCTCCTCAGCGCCGGCCTCGGCCCCGACACTTCCGCCCCGGGCCGCGCCGCTCGGCACCGCGCTGCGGGCGGGGAAACGGGAAGGCGAAAATAATCCCAACAGCCCCTTGGAATAGCCGGCGGCATCGCACTTCCCTTTAATCACTTCTGTTTGCCCAGGCCTGCCCCAGCTGGAGCCGGCCCGAGGCCTGCGCGGGGCAGGGGCTGCTGCGGGGGAGCTCCGGCCGGGGCTTGTCGGGCCTCGATGCCTCCGGTGTCCCCGCCGCAAGGCCGCCCACCCAGCTCGGTCTCTTGGTGTCTCGTGTGGATGAGGATATGACACCTGTCAGAAATACTCTGTTCAGGTGGCTCCAGAGCTGCCCAAGGGCTGGGATGTGTCTGCACCCTCAGGGATGGAGGCGAGTGCGGTGCCTTGAAGCCCCTGCATGGCTTGCGGCTGACACACGCGAGGCTGCCGGGCCCGGCGGGTGTTGTCAGCTTTTCCCCGTGGTGCTGCTAAGGAGGGCTTGGATAGGTAGAGACAATGAAGCAGCATTTCCCGAGGCCATGAGAGGTTCTGTGCCGGTCAAAGCATGGTTTGGGTCTCCACTGTGTTATAAATTTACTCATCCCAATGGGGTAGGTTAATCAATAAGGCAATTTATTAATTCGTTGATAAGGAACGGGCAAGCAGCGCTGGGGACGCGGGGTGTTTAGGCTCCGCCAGCACATCCACCCTACCCCTGGTCACTGTCCCTTTGATAGGCAGTTTCTGGTGGGGTCGCGTCATGCCTACTGTGCTGGGGCACAAGCCTGAGCAAGCCCGAATACGTTAGCTAGCACTTTAAGCAGCAATGGCTACAAGCCCCCTCTAGGTCTGGATAAGGCTCCAACATGTTGTCAGGTTACATTCCTAGCAAGCAGGTAACAGCAGCAAGAAGTCTGTTCGTGTTCACACAAGCCCACGTTTTCTTTATACGTAAAAAGTGGATACAATTCATAATTATAGTGGCAAAATAATAAAAAATACATGAAAACAAAAAGCCAACAATTCACAGCAAAATGATTTAAACAAATATAATGAAATCATTAGATTTTCCTGTGTCTCATGTCCATGCTTTACTTTGGATTTAGTATTTTTGTTTATATTGGTCTCACGGTGTATTTTCATAATGACACGAATCACTATGTGACATCTCACACACAACTGCTCGACCTCAGGTAGCAGCCTCTGCCCAGGCTGCATCTGCCGTGCATAGGTGCCCTGGGAGCTGAAGGATGACAGCAGTTCCCTTGTTTGTCCCCAAATGATGAAAAGCTGGCGTGGGCCTGGAGCCAGATTTTGGGCTCACGTGCAAGCTGCAGTCACTCTGCCTTGGCAGTGGTTTGTGCAAACTGGGGGACTGAACTGCAAAATAAAAAAAAAGCAGGAAGCATTTTAAAATGCTAAAAATACCTATATATCTGATGGTATTTTACAACAACAGTATTTTAACAATAAAAATTTAATTTGTTTCCTAAAGGAAAAATGTGATTTAAATAGACCTGTAAAGGGGTTAATCTGGGCTGGATCTCCTGGGAGCTCTGGGTCACAGGGTCAGATCGAGGGGGGCAGGCAGTGCCCCCAGACCTCTTCAGGATCAGCAGACCTGATGGTGTCAACGCTTCTGGAAACAAAGCATTTACTTGCTAAGAGTTTAAGCAAGTGAGTTCATACATTTAAGGTCTCATGGGGCTAAATTAACCTGAACATCCCAACATTTCACTACAAAAGCCAAACCTGAAGCACTGCTGGCTCCCAGAACCAGGTGGAAACCATAGCATGATTACTGAGGGGAGCATCACCCACCCATGTCCTGGAAATGTTTTCTCCTTGAAGCTAATCTGCCTGCTGTATATTGTGGGGATTAAAAAAAAATGGGTAGCTGAGCCCCAAGTTTCTCCTCTGCTGACTCTTGCTGAATGTGTGTCTTTTGGGAGCATCCCATTGGCAAAATCAAAGTTCTTGATGAGCACTTGGAGTTTCATCTGTTGTTTCCCACTTGGGAAATAAAGATGGCAGTGAGGGGAGAGGCTGGGGCTCAGCTGGCACAAAATTGGGGTGTTAAGATTCAGTGGCAAGTCTGCCTGGGAGGATGGGGCTGGGATAGGGCAGGCTGCCCTGAGCTGTTGGAAGGCTAAAAGCATACTCTCGCTGTCTATGAGGTTCACAACCTTCTTAATGACTCCAAAGGCTTCAAGGAAATCATAAAACAAAAGGAGCTGAACACACGAGATCTCATTTTGCCTTAACGCTTTGGCAGATCTGTAATAGAGGCAGTATTAAAAGCAGTTAGAAGTAGAAAAACAATGTCCAAGGTGATTATCAGAGAAAATGGCAAAAGCTGCTGAGTTCCCAGGAAGGAAGCAGGACGGTGTCACTTATGTCTCTTGGTGGCTGTAGCCAGGCTGGGTGGGAAGGGGGTTGTTGCTGATATGATGGTAGATAAGATAGCACAGCTGCTGTGCTGCTGCCACCTCACACTCCAACTAAGGAGTCATGCTTCAAAGCAGCACATTCTAGAAAAATGTGCAGTTGTGTTTGCCTTTTTGCATGTCTGCTCCATACTTGCTTCATGGGTTTCACCTCTGACCCGTCTTTGAGGCTGTCTTGGTGCACAGGTTTTCATTTAAATGAAACCTGCACTGCTGAGGTAATGCTGTAACTCTGGGACCTGAGGCTTCAACAGCAAGAGGGCATGCCATGAAATTCAGAGTGAGATTGTGAGACTTGGCCCACACTGCAGTGCTGGCCTGGGAAGGGGAATGTTTGCTTTCAAAAATCTCTTACTTGGTTATGACAGGGCTGGAAAAACAGGTCGTGGTAGTTTTGTTTGTGCAGAAATCTAGAAGACAGGTGCAACACATTTTGCAAGAAGGCAAATGGAAAAGTTAGGTAATGATCTGATACTCTAAACCTTCTTCCCAGGCACTTATTCTTCTGCATTATAGGAAAGGTTGATTAAAATACATCTTTTCCCTTATTATGTCAGACATTGTAAGTGCAGTTTCTGCGAACTGGAGTCAAAGTCAAAAAATATTTTTTTTCCAAACGGCAGCATCTCATCACAGGCAAGGACCACTGTCATTAAGCTGCTGGTTTCTGCTCTAGGCCTTCTGTTGCACTATCAGTAAAAAATGGATATGTGAGGCAGTTTTCTGTGCAGAGCTTCTGCTTGCAAAGAGGTTTTTCCCCCACAGTTTGAGAAATCTGTCTCAGCTTTTTGAATACCAGTGCAGCAGTACCAGAAAATTCCCTTGCATTTTTTATTACTCAGAGTAGCAAAACCTCACTGTAGGAAAAAAGACCTTTTTTCCCAAAAAAGCTTTGATCTGACATTTTTAGCTCTTCAAAAGTATCACTCAGCTTCTTAGGTTTGATTGAAAAAACCTGTGAAACAACTGACCAAGAGATTTTCATAAAAATATGGTGAAATTTCAAGTTTGATTTTTTTTTAACCTCCTCTGTAGTCCAGTTTGATTTGTTAGTTAAATCCTAATGTGTGTCTTTGTCCCTTTTTAGTTGATGTTGTTTTATTCTTCTCAACAGGGACTCTTGAGAATTAAATGCAGTTTTGGAAGTTTTCCCATGTTTAAATCTGACCGAATTGTCAAAATGCCTGCTCCAGTGCCAGAACTGTGGCAAGAACATCCAAGGAGAAATCCTTGTCTGAAAATTGTATTATCATTCTCTTTGAGATGGATACAGAGTTTTCCAGGTCTGCAGACAAAGGGCTGCAGCTGTTCCTTCCAGCTCTGGCACTTCACAGAGGTCAGGTAAGAGGAATGGGGTCCTCTGTCCAAGCACCTTTGCAGGAATAACCTGATCATTGCTTCCAGGGCATGTCAAACATCTGCTCCACTCTGCTACAGCCCTGCTGACCTTGTGACTTCTATGTGTGATGATGTTATCTGGCATGACCAGCACCTGCTTATGTAAAATTTGTGTTACTTGCTGGGTTTTGTCAGTTGCTAATGGTGATTTGGGTTTCAAGGGAAATACCACATTCTTAGATACACTGTTCTAAGCTGCCCTTTGAAAATGGCAAGAAAAAATTAATGCATTGTTATCCTTATCATGACACTTATCTTGTCTCTTCTCACCTCCTGACTCTTTCAGTATATTTGGCCTTAAAGGACTCTGTAGGCATCAGGTGAGAATTCTGCTTCATTATTTAGCAGGAATGTTGAGCTTTGCAAGTTTTTGCTAAGGACCTCAGGAAAATTTAATGTTGATTTTATATTTTATTATGTTATTTAAAGAGCAGTTTCTGAGTTGAAATGACCCTGGCATTAAGCCAGACATGTATTTAGAGCTATCTAAAGTTTTTATATTAATGATAAAACCATATTGTGCAATAGATTCTATGTGTAGCTGTTTTTAGCATCCTCTTTTCTCATGTAAGAGCTAAATAATTTCTGTTCACAAATAACATAATAGCTAAACCTGCTTACAATTTTGACTTTTCAAAGTCTTGCTGAAGGTGTCCAGCCCTGAGTCTGGCCACCTCTTGTTCGTCTGTGCAAGCCAAAGTTTAGGACAAGAAAATTGTAAAATGAGAGCTCAAGTGCCTTCACAACCCTGGGATTTCTGTGCCTGGGTGTCCCGCAGACTCTGGGCAGGTGGGTTTGCTCTGGTGACTTTGCTCACCTCCCAGCATAAGGTGGGCAGCACGTGTTGCCTTTGCATGACGCTGCGTATTTATTCACAGCTCTGCGAGATCGGCTGCAGTGCATTTTCATTCTGTGTATTGTTCTCTGGGGCTGGTGATGCCATCCCATTGTGCTGAGTTTTTAAGAGTGCGAGCAGCAGTGCTGATGTGACTCCCTGGACGCCTACTTTCCACTGGCCTGGGATAAAATTGGGTGGTTCATTCTCTGTGGGACGCAGGCGCGTGCAGGGAAGCAGGCGCTCCCAGGGCAATGGGGTCAGTTTAGCTGGGACACTGCAAAGCTATGCAGGATTCACCCAGCTCTCTGGTGATGGATGGATACTCCAGCAATGTCCCAGCCTTCCTAACAAAACTCTGGACGCTGGTGGAAGACCCTGAAACAAACCATCTCATCTGCTGGAGTTCTGTAAGTACAACAGATACTGGGTGTCACTAATGCCTGCAACAACAGGGAAAAGCCAGGTGTGAGGCCTGAGAACTGCATGGCACTTTGCTTGGCAGGTGCTGCCCAGTTACTGGCAGAGTGCAAAAACCAGGATTCAAGTACAGGCACTTTTGGATATACTTGGTATTATTTATCTGAAATATTGTGGCTTCTCTGCTTCAGACGGGCAACTTTTGTGGGTGCTTTAGTTATAATATTTACACATTTCACTTGAAACATCCTAAAAAGTGTCTTATGTTCTAATTCTAAGAATTCCACATGCTTTGAGAGAAATGTTTTTCACCTTGCTTGAATCTGCAGTTCCTTAACATTTTCTAGGAAATGTGCAAAGCCCTTAAAAAGTTTCACTACTGTTTGGTATTATCTCACATGTGTTTCTTAGCAGCCTCTCACAAATGTCTAGGTAGAAGGCATCAGATAAACAGCACTCAGACTCAGACCTATAATTTAAATAGATCTCAGACTGGCACCCTAAATCATTTTGGAACAGTTTAACTTGATCTTTCGATGAATCTGTGTGATGATCATGGTGATATGGGTATATATTGTCTGTACAGTTTCATAGGGATAGATTGCTTTGCTTTGGCTTCTTATTTGTAGCAGAGGCATTAATATACTAAGTGCAATCATAGAAATAAAATTATTTGTCCCCTTTATACAACACTTTGATACCACATTGTGCTTTTGACCTAAGACTTGCTGCAAATAACATGATTTATTTTCAGCAGGGAGTTATTAGATAAACTGTGTGCATAAACTTGTTCTCCAAAGTCAAGAATCTGTAACACAAGCAAATTTAAAGGGGGGTGGTAAAAAAAGTCTAAAGCATCCTTTTTTATATATACGTTGTGTCCAGTAAAATTTTTATTCAAAACCTGAGACAGGATTGGAGCTGCAGTGATATCTGTGACCATGGTTGTTTGATGCTGGTATTACATGGCCATACCTCTGAGAACCACCAAGTTTGGTATCGTGTGTTTTAAATAAGGATTTTAAGGCTAGAAATTATTTTCTAACCTGTGTAAGTAGTCCCCTCTCTGTTACGCTTAGAGCACTCTTATTTTTGACTGACCACCACCATGCTCTGCTTTCCTGCAAACTAACATAGGCTGCTACTACATCCTTGGAGGATTTAGTAAGGCTTTTAGGTATCTAAATTTCTCACTGTTGCAAGTACCCATGTTTCTCATATTCTTCAGCTTCTATACATTGATGATGTTGGAGCTGAGAGATTGTGTGCATACCTAAGATTTCTGGGTGTAATCAGTACTTCTAGAAAATAGGACCCATAAGGACCTGTGAACTGTTTCTTAGAATGAAGAAGAGATGAAGAGAAAATGCAGTAATGGTTTATATATACACTAAAGTCTGTTGTAAAGTGGAAAGGAAAAGTCTGCTCTCTGTATCCATGGTAGATTGGGCAAGAAGTAATTAAATTAATTTTTTAAATGGAAGATGCAGTAAGGGAGAACTGGCAAAGTCCTGGACTAGCACTCGACATGTCTGTCCTGGTGGTTCTGTCAAAAGCAGTTAAGATAAGCATCTGCCATGATTGTCGTGCTGCAGAGTCAGTTTTGCTTTGGGCAGAGAAGACACCCAGAGTTTCTCTGAGCTTGTGCTCCCGTGGTGTAAAGCAGCCAAGGCACAGCTGCAGTGTGGGAACAAACTGGCACATGCACAATTCTTCAGTGAACACACAGTAACCCCAAAGTCTCTTGTGTCTGTAGGAACCTTTCTGAGTGTGCCAGCTTCTGAGACCATTGTGGCCCTGAATTCAAAGGAATGGCCTCTCATGAGAGGCCATAAGGATTTGTTGAGGTATACAAAACTCTCGTGCTTGTCATTTTCCATCAGCGGGTCCAGCTTGGGACACACAGCTGTATCCCAGAGTAAGGGGGCAGAAGCACAAGGGAAGCAGAATAAACCAGCTCAAGGCAGTGCAAGGTAAACCCAAGGCAGCGTCTGCAGTGTTGGGAAACCCTGGTCCCTGCTGTCCTGTTGCAAACTCTATCTGTGAGGATAATTCCAGCATGCAGGTTGTCAGTGAATCTCTTAAGTGCTTGATCAGCTTTTGTTTCTGCTGCATGGGGTAAGGAATGATAGGAAAGACCCCAAAAATGTTCAAAGAGCACTGTTGAGGCACAGTCATGTTCAGTGTTTGCAGTAGTAAGCAAGAAGCAAGAAGTGCAGCTGCCCCAAGGTCCCATGTTTGTGGGTGTTAATTGTTAGAGCTGCTGAATGAGACTGAGCACAGAAGCAGCTGGCACCATATGGTGATGGAAATGTAGTGTATGGCAGCAGGGTTTGCCAGCTGGCCGGTTTCTGGTGGCCATGGGCAGGCTGTGGGCACACACCAGCCCCTCTTTAGACACTGATTGCACTCCCTGTTTTAGAGACTTCCTGACTTCCCTGAGTGCACCCTTGCAGCTGCGCCCTGATGAGTGCGAGGTGGGACTCACAGCACTGGTACCCTCCTACTGCACACAGAGCCCGAGGGCTCTTACAAAACACTGTCCTGTGTCACCAAGCAGCCCCTGTGGGATACCCACCCAGGCTGACACACCTCTGACTGCTGGTAATAGCACTGAGCACTGCAGGAGGATGACTGTGGTGTACTACTCTCAGACCTCTCCCTGCCAGCATGGTGCAGGCTCTGCTGTCTTTAGCTCTTATCCCTTGAAACTCAGCTGCAGCTGAGGCAAGTCCCTAATATCTGCTGATGTCACTGCACTGATGTAGCTGTCAGCAGGTAGAAGGCCAGGCAGGGAAAGCACATGGCCTGCAGTGCATCTTCTCTGCCAGCAATCCCAGGCAGTTTGCCTTGTTTGGCAGTCATGGATCTTTGCAATGCAACCCCAGAAATGGAAGATTTATCTGAATAACATGTGTGTTGTTATCTTGGACTGCAAAGCGTGACCAATCAACATTTTGTGGGTTGCCCTTGTGGCTGTTTACTATTGAAAATAATCAGTAAAAGGTGTGTAGAGCTTTTGGTGTCTCCAGAGATGATTTCCTTCTTGCCTTGCTGTGTTTCTGGTGCCATGTCTCAAGGCAGTGCTCCCTCCAGGACTGCTGTGCTCTGGAGCAGATGGATAGGGGTTAGATCTGAACAAGGAGGTGATAATGGCAGGGTTATAATGGCAGTTCCCACTTTCAGGGCCTTCTTAAGTCTTGAGTCTTTCTATGAAGTCCATGCAAGAGCGGATGATCACAGACTACCTACCAGCTATTTGGGTACAAAATTCAGTGGTTTCTTTCTCATGTCCAAGACTCTCAACTAAGCAGTGACAAAAAGTAGAAAAGGATCAAACCTGCAGCCACAGAGGCCTGACTGTACTAAAACTGAAAGGAGCACATCTGTCATTGAGGCCTGTTTTCGCTCTTCTCAGCTTCAAGGTGACAATTCAGAGAGCAAGACTTCCCCTGCTGTGGGACTCCTCCTGGGCCCCACTCGTGGTCAGGGACACTCCCCTGACTTCGCCCTTGTCCTTATGTCCTTTGCAGAATGGCACCAGCTTCCATGTATTCGACCAAGGCCGCTTTGCCAAAGAGGTGCTGCCCAAGTATTTCAAGCACAACAACATGGCCAGCTTTGTCCGGCAGCTGAACATGTGTAAGTGCAGCTCCCAGGGCCAGGACATGTGGCCCCCACAGATATGGGGGGTGACAGGAGGCGTGGGAGAGAATTGTACAGAGAAAAGTTTGGGGTCTCATCACTTGTTGTGGCATTATTGATTTTGCCAGAGGATCTGCCTCTCAGATCCCAGAGCAGTGATCTCCTTGTGTTTATCTTAAATTCCAGCGTGGAATTTCTGTTAGATTACATTTCAGGGTGTGAGCTAAGAACTTCCACCTACCAGGTGTTCTGCTTTGTTTGCATTGATTTAATGATCTATTATTATTCATTTTCCATTTTATTCTACATGGAGCTATATCCGGCCACCAACTGTGACACCTCCCCTGAATGTGCTGCTCTTGTGGGTCGTGTGCCCTGAGCTTCTCCCTTTCACCAGGCATATCACTGAACTAGTAACAGACAGTTCTTCTCACTGCAAACCTTGCCTTGCTGATCAGACATTTTTACCCTTTAAAGGAAGTTAACATGTAATTTTCAGTCACTTCAACATGACTGTTCTGATAATTCTTGGAATTTTTTCAATGAGTAATTAAATTCTTAGTCAAGTTTTAACTTTGCTATTTCACTCTATAGTAGAATTTTTGTAAATTTTAGGCCAATCCTTGAATACAGCTTAGAAACCTTTTGAGGACTTCTGAGAAGTACTCAAAGCAGATTTCCAAATGTGCACATGACCCTTTTTTTCCAAAAGCAGCACCTGCTGATGGTCTGTGCCTTTGAAAACCCTTCCCCTGAATCCCTGTGGCTTGCAAATTGAGACAGGAATTCCCTAGGAGTTGGCATTTCAGCTCCTGGCAGACCAATGTGCCCGTGGTGAAAAGGCTTTCATGGCATAGGCGGCAGCAGGGGTGGCCAGTGGGATGCACAGGGCTCTCCCTTGCCCTGGGTTTCTGGTAGATATGGCCCAAAAGCATGTCCAGATGTGAGCACTGGCAGCTCAAAAAGTGTGGAGGGTGATCAGAAATGGCCTCGAGCGTGATGAGGGTGGGAGGTGGAGGAAGTGCTGGGTCCTGTCAGCCCATCAGCTGTGTTCTCTCTGTGCAGACGGCTTCAGGAAGGTGGTGAACATCGAGCAGGGGGGGCTTGTCAAGCCTGAGCGGGACGACACTGAGTTCCAGCACCTCTGCTTCCTGCAGGGCCACGAGCACCTCCTGGAGCACATCAAGAGGAAGGTGAGGGGCACTGTGTGGACAAGGGGAACAGGCACCTGACAGGTCCTGCTCAGCAGAACTCCAGCATCACCCCGGTCTTGTTTCTGTCCTCCTCACACACACACCTGGGCTTGGCTTCTTGGTTTTCAGGGCTTGGCTTGCTTCAGTTTTGTCTGTGTTTCTCTGCTCTGTTGCTCTGTATCACAAGATGTTTGTGTAGTGCTGCAGGGCTTGCTTCCCACTCCTCTGCCTTTGAATTGTTACTGCTTTCCTGGAGAAACACCCTGCATAAGTCCTGCAGCCATCAGCTGTCCTCAACAGCCATCTCTTTTTCTTATACAAGAGACAACCTACTGCTGCCCTCTGTTTTCTGTCTTTTAACCTGTTATTAATACCCCCAAAGTGTTGTTCTCTTACTGAATTAGCATAGCAACTTCTAAAAAGGGACTTGAGCAAAACCCTTTTGGAAATCCAGATGTGGTATGTTAATTTGAAGCATTACGTCAGATTCATCCCTGTAAAACATGAGGTTTGATTGATCAATTCCTCCCTGATACTCAAAATACTTTTGTTTTCCCCCAGACTGATTTGAAATAGGTCCTCACTCTGATAAGGAATGTAATTCTGCCAGCAGACCCTCTGTATGAATAGATTAGTCCTGCGCTTTGCTATATTTGGCTCTTGCAACAGTACCCCTAGGATAGTTCAGACACTTTGGCATGTGGCCTGTCCTGGTATTTCAGCTGGTGACAGTCCTGCACCTGTGCCACCACAATGACTCTCTCTGTCCATGGCCCTTCTTGCACAGGTAAAATCTACCTTTGATTTTTTTCTCCTCAGGTGTCAGTAGTGAAAAGTGAGGAGACCAAGATGCGCCAGGAGGATCTCAGCAGGTTGCTATACGAGGTACAGATACTGAGAAGTCAGCAGGAGAACATGGAGTGTCAAGTGCAGGACATGAAGCAGTGAGTTGAATCCTACTCAGGCTGCTTCTTATGGGCATTTGCTTCTCTGGAGTGGTGGCTCGTGGGGAATGGTTAAAAGGAGGAGCCTTGCACACTTCTCTTCCCAGGGAGCCAGGGACTGACCAGAGATCTGTTGAGACAACAATATGTAGGATTTTATGCACACCTGATCTACAAAATATGGATTAATTCTCAGCCTCTCTATCTTGTTTGTTTTCCCTTCACAGATTAGGTAAGCAGAGAGAAGGTCAGACAGGAAATATGTGCATAACCTGGGGACTTAGATAACTGTTTCCTCCAGATGGTGGAAATGGTGGTAAAGATGTAACTCTCACGCATACAAGAGTCCTTGGCAGAAATGTGGTGGAGTCCACTCCAGCTATTAAGAAATTACCTTTCTGCCATCATTCACCTCCAAAATTCATGACTGGCCTAAAAAATACAGTATGTTATAATATATAACATAAGAAATTCTGTATTATTTAGTCCATGGGCTCATCTCCCTGAGGCTGTGTCATCTGACATGGCCAGAATTGTTGGGTAAGAGCAAACCAAGCTGATGCAATGCTTCCTGCATGTGGCTGCCTGACCTCCAGTTGTCTGAGACTCTGGAATTTTCTGACTCAGACATGGTCACTAAAAGATTAGGAAGTGGATATGGTTTTATAAATCATGTACTTGGAGAGGTTTTTTATTTGTCTCCAGAATTTTAATCTTTACTGAGAGCTTTGTTTAAAAAGCACTTGAATAATCATATAGACCCAAACCCTTTATTTTATAAAGAGAGCTGATATTCATAAGCCACCAGATGACACTGTCATTCTGGGCCTTGAGAGAGCACTGCATACTGGGAAACTTCATTCCAGACCAGCACCTTATGTTCAATGGATACATATTTTTATCCGACATAAATTTTTAATGACTCCCACACTTAGCACATGCATGAGTTTGCACTGTGAAATCCAGATACAGCAGCAATGAATTCCTGGGCTTACATTTGATTTAATTTTTAAGGAGTTCCAGTATTAATGATTTGGCCTTGATTTTAATTTATTCTCCCTTTTGATTTGCTTGTTCCCACCCTCCACCTGGCAAAATTGCATTCAACCGATGAAAAGAATATGATTTATATAAACTAAGACAGAAGAGAAATCCAAAGCTGGATCTATGTTAAGAAATTCACACTGGTGAAGAACAATTAGGACATAACTCTAGTACAAGCTGTCAGGAATGGTGCTTTGCTGAAAATCCTGTCAGTACCTGTGCAGAAAGTTCACTGCAGAGATTCTTGCTGTACAAGCTGTTCTACTGTGCTCTTCAGATCTCTGGACCTTACCTTCCCGGTTCTAGCATCCATCCACACTAGAAAGACTAAAAAGCAAAAGGATCTATCAGTTTCACCTGTATGGTAGGTTTTGCTGGCCTGACAGTTTAGGTACATCCATATACTCTAGAGATAAATTGGCTGGCAAAATGTTTTGCAGCATGGAAATAACTCACAGTCACAACCCAGGCCTTGCTGAAATTCTGAGTTTGGCCCTAATGTTCCACAAATACATGTGTCCTCTTGTTATCTTCCCCTATAGATGTTAGCTTCTCTTTATTTGTTTTTCCTCCATGCTTTGGTCTATAGTTCTTTTGAGGTCAAAGAAGAAGGAAGGCAATTGTGTGACCTTATTTGGGACACCTGAAAAGAGTTCAAACAGTGCAAGAGCCCGGAAGTGAGACAGACTTTGCACAGTTGAATCTGCTGTGCATCATGGCAGCACCAGGGGCTGTTGATGTTTCTGTTCTCATGGAAAATTTCTGTTTCACTTTCAGACAAAACGAAGTTCTTTGGAGGGAAGTTGTTTCTCTCCGGCAGAACCACTCACAGCAACAGAAAGTCATCAACAAGGTAGTGGTCATATGAACTCCAGACTTGTTTGTGCTGCTTGGTCTGTGACCTCCTCTGATTTTTTTTCTTGTCCCATAATCTCCACACTATGATATGGCAGTGTAATTATTTTCCCTTTCTTTTAAGTTGTGTGATGCTTTTATGTGTCCTATGGAAACAGGTCATTAACAAAGCACAGACTGCACCCTTAAGCAACAGATTTTAGTTTTCCTGGCAGTGCTTTCTGTGATGTTAGAAACCACTTTTCTATTGAAATCCTGAGCAAGAGAGCACAACTCTCACTAATTGCCCTGTGTTGGCTGATTCTGGTTGTACCAATGCCTTTGGGCTTCCCAAATCTTCCTCTTCCATTTGTTCATGAGGGGAACCCCACTCATGCCAGCACCAGTGGGAAGCTGCAGGTGTCAGAATTGGCCACCCATCGCCCCACTGGGGGAATGTAACAGCAACTATTACATTTTCTGGTGTTACTGGTGTAGTTGGAATTACTGTACAATCTTTTAGACTGCAGAACCATCTCCCTTAAAATCTAGCATGACCAGTATAGAAAAGGCCTCTCCAGTGATTCCTGGATGGTGCTGACATGACTGAGCACGTCACATATCCCAGTCCCCATGTTCTGACCCTCACGTGGCATCACAGTCACAGGACTGGACAGAAATGCACGAGGCTATCAAGCCTTCCTCCAGCTCTGAGGCTGGACCAGCCACATGCTTCATTGTAGAGGCTTTTATGCAACTCTATTTTGTTATATTGAGCAATGAGTAAGAGCCAGCTGTGATATATAATAATAATGCTCTCTTTGTTTGGAGGTCAAAGCAGAGCATTAAGTTCAAGCTGACCTGGGAATATGTTGCTAAGTGATTCCTCTCCAAAGCTACTCTGCTTCCTTTTTAGTGTCCTGTTATATCAACACTGACATTCACAGAGCTGAAAAACTCAACTGGAGCTCAGACCTCCATCCAGGCTCTCTGTAGGGAGTTGCCTCTTTCACTTGCAAATTCTTTGTCAGACTTTACAGCATCTCTTTTAAATGTCTCTGAAAACTTTAAGGGATCCAGGTCTAACTCCAGGCCTAGGAATGTTTGCAGGTGCACTTCACAGGTCTGTTAGGACCAGCTGAAGTTCTTCATGCACGAAGTGGAAAAAGTGCTGAGCACATGCATCCAGGAACCTTTGCACAAAGCAGGCACCTGGCTGTGTCTCTTGAAAGCCAGGCAGGCTGTTTGAGTTCTTGGACAGTTCATTTCTGTTTCAGGCTCCAATGTGTCACACAATTTGGCTCCTATATTCTATGGCTGCTCCCAGCTTTGGGGTGGTGTTGGGAGGGAGGAATGTGTGAGATAAGAATGGCTGCGAGAGCAGGGAGTGCTGAATCACTCTGCTGATTAACACCGGATTTTGATCTCTCCTGACAGCTGATTCAGTTTCTGTTTGGCCAGCTCCAATCAAGCCCCAGCAGCACTGGGATAAAGAGGAAGCTGTAAGTACCCGTGTGTGGTGCTCACGCTCACGGGTGCATAATGCTGCCCCCTCAGTAAAAGCACAAGCTCAGCTCGCCCAGGCAGGCGGTCACCGGACCAGGGCTCCATGGTGATGGGAAATGAATGGGCTGAAGTGCAGAGTCAGACCTGCTGACAGGCCCCATTCACTGCTCTTTAGAGAAGCACCATGTCAGCTCGTGATCTTTATTTGGGGAACACAGCACGCAGTGGGACATGGGAGTGCTAACTGGGGGGAGGCCAAAGGGCAGGACCCCACTGCTGGTCCTACAGGTTCCAGCTTTGCCACTTGTCATCAGTAGGAGCAGGGCTGGGCCCAGCCAGTCCACAGACACCTTCAGTTTGACCACAGTCACTGAATGTGGTGTGTATCTAACACCGGTTTGGTGGTGTTAACCTGCAGTCCTTACAAAGAGAAAGGTGGGGAAAAAATTTAGCTGAGAGGTATCTTTAGATAGGCTCTGCAAGGCAAGTGAATAGAGTGACTTGAATTAGGAAGCTTAGTGCCTTTCAGGAGAGCAGCTGTGCCTTTCTTGCCCTGTGGTGCTTGTGATTTAAAGAAAGGGAACAGACCATTGAGTGGAATTTGCTGAGGACAAGGACCTGCCTCCAGTTCCCACCTTTATTACCTTGTGGCCTTTGACAACTTAGAAAGTTCTCCATGCTGCAGAGAAAGGAGCCAGACCTCCCAGAAGCAGCTCAAAGCAGTCAATTTTCATTAAGTCAGTTCTTGACTGACTCCTCTTGTGAGGATTGTATAGGCAACACAGGATTGAATGAGCCCATAATCTGTACGAGCAGGGTTAAGTGCATCTCTGCCTACCCCCTCTGCTGAGCCTGTTGGAAGAGCTGAACACTGCAGATAGCAAAGAAAAGGGCTCAAGGAGAGAATAGCAGCTGCTGAGTTGCTGAGGTTCATGACTGGGGAAATTTTCCTCCAGTAGAGTGGGCAAGTGGAGAAATGAGATGCCAGATCTGATCTCTGATTTTCATGGTCAAGGGTGTGCCCTCCCTGTAAAAGCTTTGCAGCCCAAGAAATGTCTTATACCACTGGTGTTTTGTAAAAAGGCAAATAATTAGTGAGAAAAGGGCAGAAGAGCACATAACTACCTTCACAGCAACTGTATTGACCCCCTATGATGAGGGATCACACTTCACACAACCAACTGCAATTTGCAAAGTAATTTGAGTTCCTGCTTCCTTGGAAACACAGAGGTCTGTCTTCCAGAAACCTCAGCTCTTGTGTGTATATCTACATCCTTAGTGTTTTACTTCCATGGTTGTCCTGCCTCTCTTCTAAATGGCTGCAGGAAAGGATGGTGTGCAGCCTGGAGCTATTTGGTGCAGAGCAGAGCACTGCCTGGGGACTCTGGGTAGATTTGGGCAGGATGGGCAGGTCAGCATCCTTCCCTTCTCTGTTTGGTTAATGCTCTTTTTTAATGGTGACCTCCTCTAAAACTGATTTGGCCTTCCTTGCCCATAACACCGGGCAAGAAAAACTCTTATGGCTGAGGAAAACCAGAGCACAGAGGGGAGAAGGGCTCTTGGCTGAGGGATGTTTTGTATATGAGCAGCCAGGAGCCAGTCAATGCATGCTGGAAGACAAAACTGTTTCTCCTCACAGACCTCTGATGCTTGACAACGGGATCTCGGCTCCACCAGTGTCCAAGTTCAGCCGGCATTTGTCAGCAGAGCCCCTCCACGACCCCTATTTCATACAGTCGGTGGGTTCAGCCCAGCCTCTGAGCTCTGTGGGATGGCTTTGCCCAGGGGGGAGTGTTTGAAGCAATAATAGAGATTATGGAGTAAGTAATCTGGCAGGAGTTTGTCAGTGAGGAAGAACTGAGGTTTGCTAAGCTGGGTGACATTTAAAACTCCTTCAGCTCCCCAGTTTCATGGATGCCTTCGTGAGGGAGGCCATGGCTTTGGTGGGGAAAGGCAGACCCTGCACACTGAACTCTCCATGTTGTTACCCCAGCCTGGTTCACCTCGAGGGAAGAGAGGAAGAAGTGAGTTCTAAAAGTGGGATTTTTGTATCCTCTGAGGAATCCCCACCATCATCAGAGCAGACACCAGACATTTCTGTCACACAGTTAAAATATGTGAGCTGTCATGAGAGACTCACACAGCCCTGTTGGGCTGTGTTGGATTGTTCCCTCCAGAGGAAGCTGAGCAGTCTTGGCAAAATGTCAGACATGGTAAAACCTCTTGGTTGCTGACACTTCACAGCGTTTATTTCACACCTGTACCTCTGTGCGGTTGGGGGAAAAGTGAGAGGAAATTATAATGTTGCACAGTAGGTAAAAGTTATCTTAGTTTCCATACAGGGTGGACTCAAAGTCACAGTGAATAAACCCTAACCATCTCAGATAGGGCCTTGGACTTGTTTTGGGGTCAGAAGGACAAATCTATACGACTTTTGCTTTCCTCTTAGCCATCAACAGAGCCTGCCTCTTGCTTAAACAGCCCTGCAATCACTGGAGGACCCATCATATCTGATGTTACTGAAGCATCACCATCCAACATCATGAATATGCAATCCCCTCCTGAAAATGACAGGTAAACATATTTGTGATTAAAAATAGGGAGAGTTGGGTATAAACATGCTTATGCAACTCTTCTTAAGAGTTTTTGTGACTCTAATTCTGCCAAAGTTTCTGTCTGATGCACAAATCTCTATAGAGATATGTGATATATCTCCCTTTTCCAGTTTTGGAATACTTTTTTCCAAATACTTTTTTCCAGTTTGCAAAGTGGGTCAGATTTTCAGAATTAGAGGGGGATAATAACAGCATAACTTTCAAGACAAAGTCCTGAGTTTCATGCTGAGAACTTCCACTCTCCTCTTTGAGAAATATTCCATGTTTCTTTATATTTTGTCCTTAGACTTAATCAAATAATGAGATACTAACACTTGTTGGGTTTGTTGAGAGAGAGAAAGGAGGGTTTCCTTTTGGCTTTGGCAAAGAAGAAACAATCAAATTGTACATCTAAAAGCTAATGAGAACAGAAAGGTTGCATCACAACAACTTCCGATGTTTGACAACTTTTCTGTGAAAAGGCCCCAGTAACTTAAGAACTGAATGCAGAGGTATTTTAATGCTTATCTCTTCCTGCCACAGACATGCAGTGTATTTAGGGCTAGTAGCAAAATAGCTAAAGCTATGTCAGTGGAAAGTAAGTAGACAGATGAATCATGGAAACAGTTTCTCAGGCTTAGAGGCAAAGCAGTTATACTCTAGAAATTGCCTGTAAATCTGTTGCATAATTGAAACCACAGGCATAAAATTAACTAGAAGCATGTAAAGAGCTTCAGATTTAAAAAAAAAACAAACCTGGAAGCCATTTCTAAAGCAGAAAATCTTTAGTATAACCTTCAAGTTAAGTTGCTTATTTCTACTAATTACTGAGTGCCATCTGGTGGCTTCTGATCTGTGCTGTGTCTGCACGACTTCAGCATCTGAGCCAGACATGCCCCCAGTCAGTTCAGGTGTGGTACCTCCTAAATCAGCTGTGCTTCTGGTGGGAATTTAGGCCCCACGAGGTGAGAAGATGATCTGAAAGGAGTGTTGAGGAAAGCTCTGTAGTGTCACATGCCATCCCTGTTATCTCCGTGCCTTTGTCACTTCGACTCCAGGTTGGCTCTGTGCAGGTTCACGGGGAGCTCTAAAGTCTCCTACAAGAAACACAGAGTAGGTTTTTACACACAAAATGTTTCTAAACAAAACTTCATTGTCATTTATCCATCTGGAAATAATGTAGAGTGCCTCTCCCATTGGAAAAGGCAAACCTGTGCCTCTAACCAAGTAAAACATCTGACTATGACTGTCAGATCTCAACAGCTTCTGTTCAAGTCCTGCAGGGCCACAGGATCCTGGCCTGTGTCATTGGGATCTCTAGAGTGCTTGCTGATCCAGTCCTAACTCCTGCATGGTCCTGATGGTCCTACCGATCCCATTCTTATCTCTAGCGTGGAGACTTTTCTTTTTCAGGGGAATCTCTCTAGCTCAGTGTCCCTTTAACCTGTCGCTAACACTCACCCAAGAAATGATCTGTGCACAGAAATTTATGTTCTGTATTTGCCAAACAATTGAATGGAGCAAATTCATTATAGCTGTGACTGATGAAGTAACTGCAGATATTCCAGCTGAACATGTTTCTGGAACCTGCTGAAAACAAAAAGAGGCTGCTGGCTTCTTTTGCCCATCTGAGGAAATGCAAAGACCTTCTGGGGCAGTTTGATGCGAAGTGGAAGCAATGCCTCGTGCTCCTGCCCTTGCCAGTAGCACGAGGCCTTTGCAGAGCAGCTGTGTGGTGCTCAGCCTTGTCTTTGATGCAGGGAGAAGTGCCTCATGCTGATCAAGGAAGAGCCAGTGAGCCCTGGAGTGAAAGCCAGCACGGAGCCCGAGGTGCCCCTGCCCGGCTGCCGGGGCTGCTCCGAGCCGCCGGTGCTGCCGGTGGCCATGGTCCAGTCTGTGCTGGAGGGCAAAGGCAGCTGCGGTGCCGCCCCGCCAGGGACCTCCCAGCCACCCGAGAGGAGAGGCAGGAGGGCACTGCTGGACAGGTGAGGGGAGCCTGGGAGAGCTGTGGCCCTGCCTGCTCATGGCCCTCTCCCCCCACTCCCATGGTGGGGAGGGAGGGGACTTCAAATAGCCAAGTGCAGCCTGGGGAGCTCCATCCTGTCCCTGTGGCACCTGCTAGAGAACCCCTGAATGCCAGGGGATGGCTCACAGAGGTAGGGGGCATAGGGATCACTTGCTTGAAGGACCCAGCAGAGGAAGAACTGTCAAGGATGTGCATCAGAGCTGTGGGAGTAGGAACAGGCTTTTTGCATTCAGAGGGATTTGCCCAAGGTCCAAGTGAAAGGTGGAGCCCAGAGCAGCATCTGTGGCTGCAGGCATGCACTGGACTGTGCTGCACCCCTGCCCAGGGGATTGGCACTGTGACATTAGGCTCAGCCCCAGGGGGATCCCAGTGAGCCACTTGTGGGGCTGTGCTCTGAGACTGAAATCCCAGCAGCACCCAAGTCATGGGTGGATGATGTGGAACTTAACTGCAGTTCATTCTTGATGGCAACTGCAGCAATGTAAGGAGGACCGTGAGGGAGTGGAACCCAAAACACTCAATAGGGTTATCAGAAAACTTCCATTTTCCTTTAAGTCCTTACAGAGAATCAAATTCCTCCTTCTGAACCCACTGTGTGCTTAAAAACATATTAATAGAAGAAAAATAATCCTTTTTTTAAAGACCTGATTTTAAGAGAAAATTTTTATAGCTTTTGGGGAGTTTAATCACAGCAGGGCCTCACTGTTGCTCATTTAGCTGAATGCCTCTAGTAAATGCAGCCTGCAGGGTAAATGCCTGCAGCTAAAAGTCACTCCTTTAAAGAGCATTAGTTAACAGTAATTCAGGCATCTTGGACCGAGGAGAATGGCAATGCAGCCTGTTCTGGTTCCAAGTGCATCTCTAAAAGGATTTTTTCTAATGAAAGCTTTAATTTTCCCAGTGCCCAGGAGAGGTGCACAGAGTATCCATCCCCAAACCATGTGTCACCCAGGGGAGGGATTATCTCATTTGTTTTACCATCTGCCCAGTCCCCTGAGTGCTCTGCTGAGGTGTACTCTGGGATTAACCCAAGTTTTATGGCATAAACCCAGGCTGATGGTGGGCTCTTGGTTTTCAGAATGAGATTAAACATAAACATCCTTTCGGAAGGCTGCTCAGCCCTGCTTTCTGTAGGTATCCGTGCAAGTTTCCCTTGTGGCAATATTTCCCGTTGTGTTTTCTCAGAACAGATATTTCAGACCCGTTGGAGGGCAGTGACTGGAGCCTGGAGGGGCTGCAGCTGCTGCTGAGGAGCCAGCACAGCCAGTACAGCCTGGAGCCTGCCAGCCTCTTGGATGTGAGTGTTGCTGGAAAGGATCAGGTCCTGCTGCTTGTCCTCGTGTGGCATTTTATCTGCCACATGTAGCCTGTGGAGTCACAGCTCTGTTTTTCCCTGCTCATAAAATTTCAGCTTTAAATTGTGCCTTTTTTTTTATAATATGCATATTTGAACTTCTCGGAGCCCAAAACACTGCATTGGGTAAAGAAATCAACATGAGACCTGACACATTTATATAAAATAGGTTTAATGTGACTCTCCAGCTAGTTTGGTAACTGCTTGGTAGGGGTTAATTTATTTTCAACATATTCTACATCTTAGATATTCCTAGATTGTGTTTAACTTTTCCTACCTTCCCCTCTTCCTTGTATTCTGGGAAGTGTAGCCAATGTAAAATCCTCTCTCTGCTGAGGTATTTATTAGTCTCAGTTCTTAGATCACCTTTCTTTAGAAATGGATGGGGGCTTTTTCTTAAGCAGACATGCAGAAATAGGAAGGTTTGTTTATTTCTCTGTTGTACATATAATTGGTATATAAAAGATTTTTGCCAATAATCAAATAAATCTGTATGTAAGAAAAAAAATCTATATGTCAAATATATGCCCCCTTGAGGAAGTGCTTCAGATAAAGGCACGTTGTAAGCTTGCACAGATAAACAGAACGAAAAATAATTTAAAAAAAATCAATCTTATTCTCTTTAAGTCAGTTCCCAAGTGTCTGTGGTTGATTCTGGCTTTTCAGAGAGCTTTTCTAATGGCCTGCTCTATCACTGACCGTTGGTTTCTGTTTCTTGTTTCTCATTAGAAAGTGTTTTCCTATTACCGACACACTTCCCTCTTTGCAACTAATGTCACAAGAGTGAGAATGAATCATAAAATCGGCCCCAGATCAACACCTCCTTTTCCCAAGTTGCTCAGACTTCTCAAGAAATTGCCCCCAAAGCCCTGATGCAACAGTAACCTCCCCTCTGCTACTAAATTCTGGAATGCTTTTAAAAGTCATATGAATATGGGGGTGTCCTAGGACTCAAGAGCGGCAGAAAAGGGCTTTGATTTGTGTGTGCAGCTGCCCTGGTTTGTGACAGGAGAGTGGCATGGTGTGTCTGTGCTGTCCCTCCCCTGGCAAGCAGCAGGGCTCATGGATGATGAGCACAAGTGCCCACAGCCCAACCCAGCCGTGCCACAGATCAGCACAGGAGCCTTTGTCTGCAGCTTCAGGCAGTGCAGGGCTGCACCCTCCAGCAGGCACGGGAGGGCATGAGCATCTCAAACCATCACACCTTTCAGAGCTCTGCCTGTATTTTTGTCCCAACAGGTCTTTAATCCCAATTTATCTCTGAGTGAGTGGAATTTGACTGAAATGGAAGCCAGTCTGTCCCCGGTAAGAGTTGTGTATTTCTGAAATATGATAATAGCAGTCACAGAGCCCCAGAATGGCTGAGGTGGAAGTGACCTTAATGTTCATCCTGTTCCAAACCCCCTGCCTACGGCAGGGACACCTCCCCTAGATCTCCTTGCTTGAATAATAATGGAACTATGAAGCAGAGCTTGTGCATAACTGAGGAAGTTATTTCATAACTAGAGGGGAGAGTGGGCTAAAGCACAGCACATAGGCATCTCCTGGGGGCAGCATGAGACTGCTGTATTATACTCTTGACCTGTTTTTCCCACTCAGCCAGGCTTTGTCTGGATAAAAGTTCTGACTGACTGTTGGTGTCCTGGAGTCTTTAATTGCAACTGGCTGCTTTAAACTTTTTTCAGTGAGAATGTCACATCCTACTAATACCATAGATTTATAAAGTTCCTTTGTGCCAAAGCTCTTTATAAAATATGTCTTTGCAAATTGCAGCCATCCCTGTGTGTTTCAGGAGCAGTGAAATACCATGCAATTAGAACAGAGGTTCCTGCATGCCTGTACATGAATAAACAAGGAGAAATTGTTTGGCAGTATTTGTTTGGAATTGATACTTACACAGACATTTCTGCAATGCAGAAAGAGCAGGTTTAATAAACAGTGAAGGAAACCATAGACTCACATAAGCTTTAAGGTTGGAAGTGTATTGCATGGCTGGGTTCTTTTTCCTGTGTCATGGAGAGTGAATTTTCAGAGCCCTTGCTGGCAACCAAGTTGGATGAAGGCTTGAATGGTTCTGCCAGATATCTCTACAGATGCACAAATAGAGTGTTATCTACTCTAATGAAATGCAAAAGATCTCTAAGCCTTCTTCATGGTATCAACATCCTTTTGAGTTTTAATAAATTTGAATTTACTAGGCAATTCCACTTCCTGAGTGTTAGGAAGGAGAGTATCTAAGAAATAGTTAACATTAATTAGCAAGTGTTGGAAGCAAGGGCTGTAACCTTATAAAAAGAATTGCACGAGAGAAAAGTCCAGGAAAGGAGGCTGCAATGTTCAATAGTTCAGCTCTTGAGCCCACTAAATTTCCCAGGAGCTCTTGCTTGTCCTACAGAAAGTCATGAGCATGGAAAAGCCTGGAAGCAATATGTGCAGGAGCTCTATTAGGCAAAAACTGGTTTCACTTTAAAGACAGTCATAGGAAAATGGAAAGAAAATCTCTTTGTTACTGGCTGCAGAGGGCTGTGAATTTGCTTTGTATGGCAGCCACAGAGACACCAGCCTGGCCCCTTATGTGACATGAGCTTCACACCATATTAGCCAGTGCTGAATAGGGGATTGCACCCCCACAGCCAGATCTGCCCTGGAGCCCATGGTGTGGCTGTTTTAGTGAAGTGCAGTGAGGCTGGGAGGAGAGGCTGGGCAGGGAGGATGGCTGCTGTTACTGGTGGGGCTTGTGCAGTGGGGTGAACAGTGAGTGCTCAGACATGGCCTAGTTCTAACAAGCTCCCCTGTCTTTGTATGATTGTACATTGTAGTTTATATTTTTGCATCAAGATGCAGCGACTCACAGTGGATCTGGAGAAGAGTGCAACTGAGCTGCCCCCAAAAGCGTTCAACCCACCATTCAACAACACCTGCCCAGGTAGGAGCACCAGCAGCTCTGGGGACTTGGCAGTGGGATGTTTTTCAGGCAGCCACATATGAGGTCCAGCATTGATAGCTTGCCATTTGAGGGAGAAAACCACATCTGACATTTTGCTTTCATGATTGTCAGTCAACAATGCTTCCAGAGCAGCTACTAAGCCAGTTCTGAGCTGTGGGAAGAGGGTAGAGGATAAACTGAGGTGTAAGTGGAATTGAATTGGTTTTGCAATGGGTCTCCATCATGACTGTCAGTGCTTCCATTGTTTCCTCTACTTGTTAATTGCCACCTCAGAACGTGATCTCAGTGGGTAGGGGTGGTAAGAGCTGTACAGTCCTGGGTTTCCTCTGGTTCCTGCTGCAAAGGAGGTGCCCCAGCCTGAGGCACAGCTTGTGTGTCTCTTTCTCCAGACCTTTTAGCAGACCTCAATGGAACAGTCCAGCTGAGCCACTTGCTGACTGATAAAGTGTGTCATTGACCTTGGATAGGAATCCAGGAGTGTTGCCTTGGTTGTGGAATCGTGATGTATGTTCATGTTTTGTTCAGCTGGGACAGACCTGAAAGAGAAGCTCTTGTGAGCCCCAGTTTGGTGCTGTAGCCACCTGAGCCCGCCCCAGTTTTGATTCATTGTGTGTCATTCAAGGACTTCCAGGCTCAGCCCCTTTCATGAGCACCTCAAAGGCATTAAAAGCCCGGGTACACTGAAGAGAGTCCTTGAGCATCCCTTGTTTGCAAAGCCTTTCTGGTCCTACAAAGAGGGAGAAAGACACATCTTGAGTGAAGGAGAAGAGCAGCTGCTCACATCCTGTTCTCAGTGTCTCCAGCATTCAGCCATCCCTTTTTCACTTTTGAAGCGTCTCAGTTTTCAGGCAGAACCCACCTGGTGACCTGAAAAGACTCCCCTTGATTTTAATGGGCTTTTGAGTGAATCCAAGTGACTTTGCAGGAGTGAGGCTTCTCAGTTGCTGCTGCAGTTGGCATTTGTCACTTTTCAGTTCTACATGTGTAAAACCTAGCAACCTGCCTTCCAGAAGCTGAATTTTCTGCTGTCTATTCCTAGGGAAAGATGTCATTCCTGAAAGTGCCCAGCAGTTCCTCCTCGACCGTCAGTCCATCTTTGGGAACGACCTCATCAGCTTGCCTGAAAATTCATCACTTTATGTTCCTCCTGAAAATATAGCTTCCTACATGTCCTCTGTGGGTGTCCAAGGGGATATCCCTCTAAACCTGAGTTCTTCAATGGACAACAGCCAGTGATTTAGCTTCCAAGAAACAAAAACTCCCTCCCACCCATCCAAGCATCCACAGCTTTGAATGTAAAGAAACAAAACTGACTCAGAAATCTGCAAGAGAGTTTATTTTTGTGCCTTGTTTTGTTGGTTTTTTTTTTTGAGTAGATGGAAATGGTCAGTAGCTGTTGCATTACCCTCCCTGCACTTGGATTTCAGTGTTTTTAAAACAAAATACTACTTCTGGTGCTTCTCCGAGGGGGAGTAAGAACTTGCCAGGATTTTTTTTCCTTGAAAATGCTTTAAAAATTTCAAATATTTTAATGAAATTTAAGTGTAGAGTAACTTGAAAGTTCATCTGAGACTTCATAAAATAATGATCCTGACTAGTGCCTGCAATGGTAAACTGTTGGATTTTACTGGGGCAGCACAGATGAGCTAAGATGCCTGTTGTTGATTCTGGTTTTTTAATAGGAAAATAGTTCTACATGCCAGTCCAATGCTCTAAAAAGATTTTTTATCCATTCTCTATGTTTGATGGGATGCACCTGTTCCTCCTAGGGTGAGTAGGAAAAAGATCTCTTGGGGTGTGTAGAAGCTTGTTTTCTGAGTGACTCCACCAAGAATGTGCCTCTGGCTCTTAGGGGAGCTATAGACCATCACAGGCTGCAAAACATCCCATGCTGAGTTGAGACATTTTGTTGTTTGGGATTTGTTTTGCCCCAAATTTATTTTCTCTTACATAAAGGTGGGGCACTCCATACTTTAAAAATAGAAAAGGGACAGACTTTTCTGCACACACAATTTTCCATGTGCAGAGAGGGCTGAGGGAGTGCACTCTGGGTTTTGGTGCTGGCTAAGTATTCCATGTCCAGTCCAACTTTTTTTTTCCATGGCTTTGACCTGTTCTATTTCCCCTGTGGATGTGCCTGTTGGTTTATTGATGTGTAGAATCTGATTAAACAGTTTAATTTATTGGATCCCCTTTTCAGAAGAACTCTCAGCTGCTCAGTGTAGGAGAGAGGCAGAATGGTTAGTCCACCATGTCCCACAAACTTTTCTTCTGTCCTTTGTGCATCTGAGACCAGCCTCACAGGCTGAACTAACCTTCCCCATCCATGTGGTTTCTGACAACTGAGTTTCTCAACAAAGCAGAGCTTTGTTTTTTATGCTGTAGTTCTAATGAGAACGTATTATTTATCTCAGTATCTTCTACCTGAGTTGCTTTTCCTTAGGAAGGTTACCCAAATGCAGTAGGACAGACCCAGGAAATTCAATTAACTCAGGCCTCCTAAGGGCTTAGACAGGGAGGTTTAAGCTGTGCCAGTATCATTTGAAGAAATGCTCTGCCTGCCTTCATTGCCAGTTCTTGGTTATGAACCACATTTCTGAGCATTGTGGTCAAGCAGCAGCCCACCCCAAAGTGTAGCTAATCAGTCAGAGGAGTGCAGGCTCAAAATCTCCTCAATAAGATGAGCATTTTAAAAATGGACCTTCCTGTCACAGCCCTTTCCTCCATCCATTTATCACTATGTGAACAAATGTGTTAGTTCAGAAACATTCACTTTTGAGCACATTTTTGCCCAGCTGATTCCTGTGCTGGGAGCTGTCACTTGGTGGTGTGGTCTGTGCAGGAGCGAGGTTGTGAGAGCTCCTGATTTAATCCCGGCCACTGTTTTTATGTTCAGGACTAAGGGAAAATTCCAGCAGCCCCCACTGGCCTGGTATTTAGATGATGTGCTTGAGTGTATACTGGACAAGGTTTTTCTTTTTGACAGATTTGTGCTTAGAAATTTCATTTAGATCAGCCCATTTCCACCGTATTTTGCCCTTTCCGGTGATGGAAAGTCTTTGAGTTGCACTCTGTTTAATTCTTTTCTCATAGGGAATTGAAAACTGCCTGGTGTCTCCTGACACCAAGAGTGTATGTTCAAGATTTGCACCCTCCTCTGAACTTCCACACTCTAGGCTGTTGTCACGTTAACACTGAATGTACTGATGCAACAAGGTATTTAAGCACATGCTTAACTTCAAGCTCCTGTAGTTTTGCTGTATTTTTATGGAGCCTGTCACATGCTTGAGGCTGGCATACGCTTGTGTCTGACTGGATTGTCTGGTTGGGGTTGGGAAGTGAGCCCTGGGGAGAGCTGCCTGTGGGCACAGCCAGGTGCAGCTCAGCTCTGGCTCTGTCTCAGGCTGTGTCCTACAGGGCAAACTCCAGCCTGTGCTCGTGGGGAGCAGCCTCTCAGGAGGGGTCGTGGGGTTTTCTTTAGGCTTTTTGCTCTGCAATAAACATGAGATTGGAGCTTGATGGTGAGAGAGGAACCTCGAGGAAGAGCACTCAGGAGCCATTCCTGTGAAGGAAGCTTGTGTTCCTCAGCTTTTTACATTGTTAATTTTACTTGAAGGTGATGTGCTGAGACTGCGTTTTTGCACTATGCTGTACATTTGTAAAGTTTTACAGAAGACACTAATTAAACATGTTTCTTTTTTCTCATTTAGTCCTGCTTTGGTGTTTCTCTCACTCCCTTCGTCTATCCCTTACTCCTTTTCTCCTTCCCAAGTCCTCAGTGACAAGTGCAAATCGTTTCTAAGCATTCAGAGATTCCCTTGTGAGGGCCCAGGGGTGGGTTGTGGTCACTGTGTGAACACACAGGCGCTGGGGAGGGAGACCTCCCATGTAGAATGTTGCCAAGTAAACATAGCTTGGAAAGCTGCTGAATTCTTCAAACTAAAATGCCACTCAGGGTGGATATAGCTGGTAAAATCAGGATCACACTAAAAGAATCTACAGTTCTTGAAACTATTTGCTGCTTTTTTTCCCCCCGTTTTTCTTGCATTCAGTGATAACAGAACTCAAACTTCACTCTTGGAATTATTTTTTTAAACCTTTTGTTTGCAAACATATTGTGATCCTTTCTGCTTACTTTTTTTTTTAGTGTAGTAAGGGGATACCAGGACATGCATGAAAAAATGCAAAACTTAAAGTCTTCAAAATAGTCCTTATCCAGCTTTCTGTCAGAAAAGGAAGCAGCTACTTTTTTAGGATGGAGCTCACACAGGTTGGTGCTTTCTGAATCATTTGCAATTTTTTGAAGAGCAGATTCCTGCACTGATGCTTTCAGATAACCCTGTGCTCCACAGGCCCTTGGCTTACCCCCACCCTGTCCTGGAGGCCAAGGCTTTTGCCAGCATGTTTGAACTCGTGCAAGGTGGAAAATGGATGAAATTTAACACAATTGTGTTGTCCTCTCTGAGGGCTTTCACAATTATTTTGTGTTACTGTGAGGTCTGGTTCTCTTGCCACCAGATGGCACCTAAGGCCAAGGTGATAGGAAATACATCTTTTCAACAAGCCCACGGTAATACTTTATTTCTTTAAATCTGCACACCTACAAGAACTGTTCTATTCTATTTATTCCAAATTATTAGGGATGTATAGAAACATGAAAAAAGACATTCACCTAAACTTGGCTATACTCAAAATCCAGATCCTGAGACACATCTCAATGAAAAACAATAAAAGCAGCAGATATAAGTGTATGTTTCGTTACAGATGTCCTAAAAGGTAAAACCAGATTTCCTGTGCATGGATGCTATTTCTGCATCTTTTAGGCATAAACAATCATATTGTCAAGGAATAGCAGATCAGTAAAATATCCCATCAAGAAATAATCTCCATTTGCTATTGGAGTCCATCTGCTATGATGCACACTGGTATGGACTTAAAATATAAAACACCAAATGAAAATATATAGGGTTACAAATAGAATTTTTATTTAGTCAAATGACACACACACTGAGCTATGCTTGAAACTACATCTGTAATGAAACGTGTAATGAAATATAAACATGTAATGAAATATAAACATGCAATGAAACATAAACATGTAATGAAATATAAACATGTAACTAAGGCATTTCGAGAAGGATGCAAAGGCACAAATAACACAAGACTGGAATTTAACCTCCAAACAGTAGTTTTCAAAGTAGTGAACAGGCAGCTGCCCTGAGGAGCTTGGAGCCAAGCCAGTGAGTTTTGGTGTCACAGTGTTATGTCAATTTTAACAAATGGTCCCGTTGCAGGACAGACACTGTGCTCCAGATCTGGTCTTTTTTCAAAGTGATTAATCCAATTCATTCTCACCATCCTTGTCACCTTGTGCTTTATGAAGACATCCTTCCCCCTCAGCCAGGCCCCGTGCTTCTCCATCACTGCCATTCCCTGTTAAAAGCACAAAGGGCAAATGAAACTCACTCGTGGTCTTTAATACTGAAAAAAGAAATATAGAGCCCATTTAAAAAAAAAAATAAATTAAACTCAGTAAGAAATCTCTGTAGAAAAGAAAACATTTTAATTCCTAATTTATTAGGATTCCCACATAAACAAAAGGAAGAGGTTATTGTTACTAACAACCTTCAACAGGAGCTGAACAGATCCTTAGTGTGTCTGTGCCACCCCTGTTTTCTCTGTGATTAATAATGTCACTGTAATCTTACCATCCTCTTCCCACGAGCCTGGGTCATCTGGTTGATGGCAGACTGGTGACAACAGCAGATGATCCTTGGGTTCAGTGATTATCTCTTGTATCAAGGGCTTCAAATGAGCTACCTCTTTATCTTTGATCTCCAGGTATTTTTCTGAATTATCAGGCTCTGTAAAAAAGCTTTTGAGAAGGGGTCTTAAGCGCTCCTTTTCATGCTCTTTATGGTTCTGACACACATTTGAAAAAATTGCCATTGGAACTTCTTCTACTGAACTCTCAAGGATGCTTTTATTCTTTTCCTCTAATGCAGAATTGCTGTCATTTGTCACTTCAGAAATTAATTCAATCTTTGGGTGATAGTCCTGCTGTAAAGGTAGAAATGTAATTGAAAAATTTTTCTTAGGTATAAAAGCCAGAGGATGGGGACATATCTCTTGGATCTGTGTAACAGTTGTCAGCTTTAATGTGCTGTTCTTATAGAATACATGGAATATATTCCATATATGGAATATATGGAATATATGCTTCAGCCATAGCTCTGCTGCTTTGTGAATGAATCTTAGGTTAGCATTTTGTCAGGCATCACCAATGAACTGACCATAAGCCAATTAACAGTTGATAAAAAGAGCAGTGTGTGGGCTCTGTTCTAACAATTTACTCCAAACAGAAGAGGAACCTGACCAACATCTTCACGTGTCTTCAGCTGAGAACTGAGCAGCCTTTGGAGCAGTACAGCTGCTAACACATCCTCTTTCCTTGCCTTCTTTTCATTGGAGACTTTGTTGGCCAAGACATTTTGTAACCCTGTTATGAGTTTGTGATCAAAAGGGCAAATCAATTCCATGCTTTATGCTGACTGTAGGACAGTTGGCATTATCTTGGAAAGACTTGTAAGAGCATGTACTGTACCAGCCTCTGTCTGCAGCAAGGCCAATATGATTCTATGATCAGCATGAAAATCAAAACTGTGCTTTTAAATTTTGTCGTCTTCTTTTTTTTCTCTTCTGTTTCTTCTTCTAGGCTTATGCCTAGAAGATTAATTTGAGCAAAGCAAAACTCTAAGGTGGTCAAAGGACTGGCCTGCAGCAGAGAGGAGGAGTTTCAATTTCTCTGTGATTTCACTTGGAAAGTCAGATTCTATTCAGCAGCAGGCAATTTGCACCATATCAATACTGGTACAGTATATTTTAAGACTAATCTTCAGTATAACTTTACATCCCATTAAGAAATTAAACTTATGTAACTGTTGCATTACTGACCATAAGTTTTTATTCTATTTTTGCTACACCAGAATATAAAAAAGTCAGATTTAAACAAAGGAAGATTTACATGTAGATATCAACTGCTGAAACTACCCATTGTAGTTTGTAAATGCATAAGTGATTGCATATCCCAGCATTTCACAACTTAGATTATCCTCATTTTGCAAAACCTTTGTAAATATGTTTAGGGAAGTTTCATCATTGGAATTAATGAAAATTTTACCTTTTGAAGAAAGATTTCCTCTTCTAGGGGAAACTCACTTACAAGTACATCTTCTAAATCAGGCAGTTCCTGAAAACAATCACAGATCAATTATCAGTGGGAAGAGCTACTGTAACCCATGAAAAATGACATCTCTGGCTCATTGGACAACTTCTTCAAAGCAGTGCTCATCTGGGTGTGAGGCCACAGCCAGCAGGACCCCACTGACCCCCCTCTCACAGGCACAGTTTGCTGTTAAGCACATGTGGGAAAGGGAAAATTCATCTGTCTCCAGAAAGAGCAAAGGGGAAAGCAATAGCTCTAATGCCAGACTGAATGCTGTTTCCTACTATGCTGTGTGATTATCAAGGGAGACAGCATAAAGAGTAAGGCATTACCAGCATTTTAAAAGCAAACATGGTTTATTCTCTTAGCTGTTTCCTGTCTATTCAATAGACTTAATCCCAACTGCAACCCATCTGTATGGGTAAGTGCTAAATCCAAACCTGCAGTCTTCCTGAAACTGCATATCCAGTAAACTCTGTTAACCTAAGTACACCTCATAAACCAATGTTTTAATGTGAATGCCTCATAATTAAGACACAGAACAGCAAACTTGCTGAGAACTGTTTTTTCTCAGACAGGTCTGACAATTTCAGCTTTTCACTAGAAAATATTATCTCAAACAATTATAATTTCCTGACATGAAAGGAAACACAGAAGGTGGGAATGCAAAAATCACAGGTAGAAACTAACACCTATTTGCCATTTTTTTACTGTAGGTCAATACTGGGATAAACATCTCCTTTTTTTTTTAGGTATTTTTAGCACTTAATGACTTTGTAGCAGACTGCTTGGCATGGTAGCATCAGGAACACCTGTATTGTCTCGTGTGGTGAAGACTATTACACAATTAAAATTAAGAAGGAAATTTCTCCCTCCTGATATGGTTGCAGCAAGTGCAGCATGTCCTGAAGTCACAGAGTTTTATAAAAATTGCATTAAAAATGTAAAATTAAGATCTGAGACTAATGTGGAGTTTGATGTCAATAGGGAGATGAAACAGCTGTTAGTCTTGTTTCAGCCATCAGGGTGCATTTGCAGATCAACTATGAGTTAACCCAGTGTTGGCACATGGGATGTGGTTCCACACTGCCAAGGCATGTGCAGCAACAGGAGCTTATTTCTGCTTGACACAGGGATGTCATCACCACCCACTGCTAATCCTCCCCCACTCTTCTCCCTTATATTCCTCCTGAGACCAACTGGAGACTCAGGATATGAATAAATACAGTGGTGCTGCTCCAGAGCCTCTCACCATCAGCATCTTCCCAGCCATTCCCTGCTATGTCAACACTAAGATTCTTTGGAATATCTGCAATAGGGTAAGTACTGGAGGCTGTTGGGAGAGGCTCTTTCTATGACTAAATGTCATTGGAGGACAAATAGCATAGAACACTGAAATGTGCATTAGTGTGTGATTTTGGTTTGGTTGTCCTTCTGTGAATTAAAATAGTCCCACTTTTTAATGTCTTTAAAACCCCACAGATGTGTGCTTAAGAGTTACTTTTACACTGCCTTGAAGTTTGTGCACAGGATCTTCCTGTGGTGACATAGAGCATCAAGGGAAAAACAAACACTGAATCAAGGAGATCTTCACATTGTGGGTACCCACAGTGTCACTACATATTTAAAACCTTTACTTCAGACACTGCAAGATCTACTTTTAAGAATAAGATTGTGCATACTTTAATTGCTGCCCATTCTCTCCACTACCTTTTTTAAACCTAGGATTAAAAACAGCTGAACAGGAGGAGGCAGCAGCAAACCCTCTACTGAAGCAGTGAGCTGAGCCCTTCAATAACAACAGGGAATTTTTGCCTGGGAAATTAAGAGCATGGCAAAGATATGAGGCTTTTCTGCCAGTAGTTAACAATGGCAATATAGGGTATCACAGAGTGTATTAAGTGCTCTGGGAAATCATAAGCTCAGAAGTTTTTATTGCTGATTTTATCATAGTCTGACAGTGTCAGTTTATCAGCAGTGTCCTAATTAGGGCATACTGAACAATTCTCCTTTGAAGTGAGGTTGTATTTTTAGTGGTATCTATGTCTTCCTCATGGTTAAATGTGGTAAACATGTTTAAGTGTTGCATCAGATAGACATTTTAGATAACAGATATAGACATACTACAAATGTCAATCACTTATTATATATCTGAATAATGTATATTCTGTTCTTGGAAACAGACATCAGAGTTCTATTTTGAGAATTAGTTTATAGTATCTAACGCTGCTGGGTAACATTTACAATGATGGGGGTGCTATTTCTTCCCTATGGTTTTTCTGCAGTAGTTTACATTTTCAACTGCATATTTCATTTGTGCTTTGATTAAGAGGACAAATGTATCTACTAGATTCTTTTCACTGTAATTCTGTTTTTAAAATGAGAGCCCTCATTAGCTTCTCCAGAGAAATCACAAAGACAGAAGGTCAACTTCAGATGATTTACAGCACAAAAGGATTTATAGGATAAAAAATTTTAGGACAAAATAAACTTTGGAAGTATTTTTCATAAATACTTCACTGGGGAGAATACCCCTGACACTTTACTTTTTGGAGTTTTTTTTCTTTCTTTCTTTATATTTTTCCTAACAGTAGACCTTTCTTTAAAACATGCCCATATAGTTTTATTAGCCAGAATGTTACAAGAATTAACTTGGAGAAGACAATACACACTTGTGAACTTCTCAAAGTCTGAATCCAATACATACTTCAAGAGAAAGTGTCTCCAGTGTCTCCAGTTTGAACTGTTCAATTTCAGCATATTCCTCCCCCTCAGGAAGCACGGCCTTGTCAGTAGCTGCCTCCTGTTCTGGTAGATGTACAGAATAATCAATAGTCAGTAACAGAATAAAAAATGTCTACATTGCAACAGTAAACACTGCAGAACCAGACTGCTGGGGACTGATGACCACTGCAGAATTCACAGCTCAATCCAATGCTTTTTTTTCTATTATATTCTGGGTCTTTTTTCTACGGCATAAATTAATATTTGCATTTTGCAATAATGTGTTCCACAAATCTATAAAAGCAATTCTCCATGTGTGAAGGTACAAAACCATCTCCAGAATGATGACCAGCTGCTGTTGGCAGACAGACTGCCCAGTTTATGTGGGAGCAAGGGAAGTCTGTAAACTCTCCTGGCCTTTCACTAAACCTGGCATGTTTGAGAAGTGGAGCTCCACCTTTAAGTTGCAGAAGTTGCAGGTTAAGCCTTCAGAATCACTATTTGTTGTATTTAAAGTATATTTTACTCAGTATTGCTTGATTTCACCTAGTCACTGTGGAAATCGAATGGAATGTTTTTATGTATGAATTAGTTGGCTTGAGCCACAGGAGAGGGAGTGCTTCACTAAGACAGAGGTTGGCTTATCACCTCTGCATGCTCAGTTTGGTTTGGCTCTTCACTGTGTACATTACCATCTGTCTCCTTGTTGAAATGTGCACATTTGTAAGAGTCTGGTTCCTGTGCATCCTCTTGAACATCATCAGGAATATTTCCAGATGTGAAATCTCTGCTATCTCCTCTATTTGGTAAAAGTGTTATCACTTCATTACAAACATCAAAACTCTCATTTTTAAACTTCTCAGTCTTTTCTTGATTTTCTTCTTCTGATCTATTTGAAGTTTCTGATGTATTATAATTTCCATCACCATCTTTTGAATTTGCAGGTGTTCCTACAGAAGAAATAATTTCATTAAAATTGCTGAGCTAAGCTACCACTGCTCATTTTAAATATCCAAACACTACTACAATGGGATAGAATATGCATCAAAAGCTCCTACTTTGAGCAGTTATTCATGGATGAGTAGTCCTCCCAACACTGCAGCAATGCTGTTCTCCCATCTCAACTCCCCAGCAAACAGAAGTTCCCCAGAAAAAAAAAAAATCTAGAGAAAATATTTAAACAATAAATGTCTGATATTTACAATACTTTGAAAAGGCTCACAAGTGACTACATATTTAAACACGTCCTTGAGGATTTTGATGGATCAGCAACAAGTTCTGGTTACCCCCTCCTTTGTGCAATACACTTGCTTGAAGAAAAATTTTTACTTGTTAGTCAATCCAAAAATGTATCAGATAAAATGATAAATTCTGCACATTCAAATTGAAATGGTCACAGACATCTTCCAAAACTGTAAACACAAACCTTCTTGGGTATCTGTTGCAACTCCTTCCATGCATTTTTGTCTCCTCTTTTCCTCTGCTCTTTGCCTAATTGCTGCTAACGCATCAATGCTATCTTGGATTTTTTTTCTCTCTCTGGTTTCCCATTTTTCCCTTTCTGCTTTCTCAGCTTCAAGCCCTCCAACAGCCCAGGCTTCTGCACAGGCTCTAACGAAAACACAAAAGCTCACTGTAATACAGCTATAAAAGTCCACCTTTGCAATGAGAGAGAAATTTAAAATAGCTTGCACCAGGGATGCTTATTTATCTCACAAAGAAGTAGAGATATCCAAATCTTGGTTGGTGATTACACCACCAGAGATTGGTCTGATCTTGGCTCAGCTGTTCCAGATACCTGCTCAGTTTCTGCTGAAATCAGGATTTGCCTCTAGTCTACAGACCTGGCATGAGACAATTCTGTTCAAGAACGAGTTTGTGAAAAAACACATTGCTTTTTTCTGGGTATGTTAGATGTAGAATTCTGTAGTACAATACTCTTCTCCTCAAAGTCATCCACCTTCAATAAATTATACTGGTCAATCTTCCTTCCATGACAGTATTGTCAAAAAATGGATGAGTGATTGTTAGCACTTGATTCTTACTGCTGTGCAAAGAAGATGGCTGTGCTTCTTACCTATCCTTTGGGAAAACTGGTCTGTCATCCAGGTATGTCAGCTGTTTTAGTCGAACAGTGAGTGTTTTTCTATAATTGGCAATTTTCTTTATCACCTCATTTCCCATCAAATTCAGCACATGCTAGAGAAGCAAAGGAAACAATTTTTAAGCTCAAGTAGCAAAAACTTCAGCCTGGATATGCATTTCCCCAGTCATTTCAAAAGCAAGAAATGAATAAAACATCCAATGTGTTACAGGTGATCTACCAGAAACAAAATAATGTTTAATAGTGTTTCTTTTAGACTGATACCTACTGTGCACTCAACTACCCAACAAAGCCACTTGATGGGGTTCACCCACACACGACACAAACCCTCAGCTATTTTGGGCTTACCAGATTGGGCATGGTCTCCAGAATAGCTACAATACTCGGATCACTTAGATTGTTGTGGGAGAGATCAAGGACAGAAATACTTGGGCATTCCTGCAAGTGCTGGATGTCTTCCACTGTTCGTAACTTATTGTGAGCGATCTGCAGAGTCTGCAGGACTTTCAGACAAGCTGCCAGACAAGAACAGTACAATGAAGGGAAAGGTAAGACTTGTCACTTCACAGAGGGTTTTTTTAACAAGTAAAAAACTGTATTGTCAAACTAATAGTTTATATTGAATTTGGAGCTGTTTTCTAAATTTGTTATTCTACTATATATGCCTTTTGGCTAGGCCTCCAAAGCTGCTTTCATCACCCCAGCGAAAAATAGGTGCTTGGTTTTAGGATGGTGGTTGTTTTTAATACACATTTCAAAACATTCAGTTACACAAAAGCAAGAGCTTGTGTTTCAAAATTCTCCAATGTATGTAAGTAGTAACATATAGAAATAGTTTTTTTATTTTCTGCTGAAGACAGAATTAATCTTCTAGCAGATATAAAAGATTTGGTAATTGTGTCTGCAACTGCCAAAGCATATTTTAACTGTAAAGTAAATGGTGAAAACGGGATTGTCAGCCTGTCTGCAATACAGATAAATACTGAGATGGTATTAAGAAGTGAGGAAAAAATACTTAATTATCCTAGGTGTCCATGTGAAAGTAGTTTGTATGTATTTTCTGTTTCTCAACATAGAAGCCCTGTGGGCTTTAGTATGGATATTGTGCAAAATTCTAACACAATTTAAAAAATCCCTTTAAACTAGTGTCACTAACAGAAGCTTAGTCAGAGCTTAGGAAATATGGGCTTGCCAGGGCTGTTGCACTAACAGTTCTTACAGAGATTCTCAATGGTCCTAATGTAGTTGTTACTGATATTGAGGGAATCCAGCTTTTGTAAGGGCTCAAGGTTTTCAATTTTCTCAATTAAATTGAGTTGCAAGTAGAGGCAACGCAATTCTGTCTGAGCCTCCAAATTCTCAATTTTTCTTAAGCCATTGCATTGCAGCCACAAACACTTCAGTCCAGTGTATTCTTCAAGGTTCTCCAGTCGGTCAAATCCTGCAGAGGAAAAAAAAGATGTTTTAAAATGAAAAGGCATTGGCTGAAAATGGCTCTTTGGACAAGAGAATTCCATTAAACCAGAGCTGCTGAAACAGCCTCAGAGAACACTGGTACTGAACTTACTGCAATATTTCCACTGAATTCATGGTACTGTTTCTGGCCCATAAAGGCAAAACCTTTGGTTTTGGTTGGTACATATTCTGGTCTGTATCTCAGCAGCCTTTTAGATACTAAATAATACATAGCAAACCCAATGCTGGATGTAGAAGGTAGGATATCTTATTTATTTGGAAGAATTCTTAGGCTAACTTGGACCAGGTAACTGCATCATGCAAAAACCTGCTCAGAGATCATCAGAGGATGAGAAATGTTCATTCTACCAATTGTTTTTTCTTTCAGTAGTGTTTGCAAACATGCAGCAAGTCTTCACTGCTTATTTTCCTCTTGACCATTTTTATTTGGCAGTAAAAAAGTTCTAAAAGCTGGAAAAAGCTCATTATACAAACAATTTAAGGAAAAATACGTATATTTACCTCTGAGTGCAACCCGGGTATTTTAAGACATTTCTCAGAGGCTCATTTCAGTAAAAGAAACCAAAAATATGTCCCTTGATTCCTATTGATCCTTTGGATGGCTCCACAAAATGAGTTAGATGTACAGTTTACTCTTCTACCTTCATATTGACTCATTTTGTTTCCCAGATCCACTATTACATAAAATTGTGTTTCTAATTTAGAAGAATGACTAGGCACCTTACTTCAGTGAGCCCTTAAGTACATTCTCTGCTAAAATGCTACTTAGATTGATCAAGCTAGGCAGTCATGTCCACATCTTACCTTTATAATGCAAGTACAGTGTATCATTTAAGTACGGGGTCCAGTATAATTTCTGCTGTTTACAGATGTCTAGCAGAATCTTTTTTGTCATTCTAAAATAGTATAGGAAGTAGAAGCAAAATAAAAAATGTATGTTAGTGCACATTCTGAGATCTTTGGTTTCCTTACAGATTCCATTGCAATACAGTTAACAATTCTTTCATGCAAGAGAAATAGCTACAGCTCTCAAAATGATACTCGAAATTATATATTTAAAAAAGTGCTGGATTTTTTAGTGTGGCTTTTAATTTCTACCTTTGAAGGAAGTTACCAGGCCCTTCCACTAAAAAGCAGAGGGTTCATAGGAAAATGGGCAAGGAATTACAAAGTCCATCTTCTTGGAAAAGTGCAGCATGATTTTATATTAGCTTCTGGTTCCAATGTTAACTTCCTCTCCAATTATTTCCCCTGTTCCTCGTTGGTACAGGACCTTTGGTGGCAGAGCCAAAATGCAGAATTTTTCTCAGACTAGAAAAATCAACAATAGTCAACCTAACATTTTATTGAAATGTTGACTCCAAAATAGCACTCAAAATTAAGTTTTGATATACAGCTGTTGGTTGGCTGGGAATGCCACTAGGAATTAACAGAATGCTTTATCTGAAGTGATGCAGAGCATGGTTAAATCTACTGGCACATGACTTCCACAGGAGTTTGCACAATTTTCTCCAGATCCATTAAATGACTTCATCATGTGATCAGAATGTCGTTTGCTACTGTGGCCATAAAACCCAAACATCTGTAGAGATGCTGGAAATGTCACTAATACCTGATTTATCCATTATTCTCAAGTTCATCTTCAAAATTGTTCTCCAGAACTGAGATGAATACACAGAATAGCAAAACTCCTGATGATGCCAACATATTCACAAACAATTTATTACCTTACAGAGCCTCTCTTTTCTTCTGTCCTTTGACTGGATGAGCTGGCTCCAGACTTCTGATCAATACCTGATTTTTGTTCATTCTGTTGATCTGCTCTGGACATACAGTTGACTTCTTTATCTTGAGTTTTAACAGATTTATAAATAAGAAAATGAGTTGCAATTTAACAGCAAGAGTGGGGAAAATGTGTCACGTTGCCAATTACTTCAGAGAAATATTGAAGAGCACTTGAATATGAATTTCAAGAAAAGAGTGTTTTAACCAAGATTTCTGCTGACATTTTTAATGAAACTTAACTTTTTCTACACAGCATCATAAATAGTAGCAATTGAATTGTTGAAATCCGGATTTTTTTTTTTTTTGAGATCTGGAAGTCAGATAGGTACCCATTATTCTTAATATTCTTATAATGTACAGTGACACTAAAGTACTGATATTGATGTTCTTACGGTGTTAGATATTTAATATATATTACATTAATTAACACCAATTTGAGTTTACTGTAAAGAGACTACAGCAACGGTGTATCAGTCATCCCAAGCACTGTTAGTCCAGCTCTTCTAAAAATTTACCCTCTTGCACTCCTTGGAAGGTGTCTTTACACTGCCTTTGATTAATTACAGTTTGAGCATTTGTCTCTTCAGATACTTGCCCTGAAACTTCTACTTGCACTTGTAGTTCATACATTGAAAGACAAAGTGCAAACAAGATGATTGTACCAGCTTACTTTAAAATGACTGAAATTAAAACATAATAATCAGACATATTCAGTAACACAAGAGGCAATGGGCTGAAACTGATGTGCAGAACTTCCACCTGAACACAAGGAAGAACTTTGCTGTGCAGGTGACCATGCACTGGCACTGCTGGCCCAGAGGGGCTGTGGAGTGTCCCTCACTGGAGATATTGCAGAAGCATCCGGGCACAATCCTGTGTCCTGCGCTCTGGGATGGCTCTGCCCGAGCAGGGAGGTCGGGCCAATGACCCGCTGTGGTCCCTTCAAACCTCACCCATCCTGTGACTGTGATTTAGAGATCAGACTAGCTGTGCGATTACCCGGCAACAGGAAAGTAAAGAAATGTCGGGAAGGGAAGATAGCAATCGATATGCCCCAGTTATGTCCGAATTTCCAGTGACTTTGCTGTCAGAAAGCACACACTCGTATTTGCATCCATAGAAGTGTGAACAGCCGTGATGCGCAGGCTTTGTGTGCTGGCGAGCGAGCCGGAGGGGCTCACCTGTGCTCCCAGCGCTGCCCTCACGCTCCGTGGGGGCACCTTCGCTGCCGGTGTCGCCCAGCGGCGCCTCAGGCGTCGGGGCCTCCCCTCTGCGGCCGCCGCCCTGGTCTCCAGCTGGGGCCGCCTGCATCCTAAACCCCCCGAGCCGGTACGGGATTTACGCTCTGCCTTTTTCAGACAAAATATCCCCAGGCTTTATTCGGCGGCAGGCGAGGGCGGCAGCGCAGCCCGAGCCCCGGCCGCCGCCTCAGCCGTGGCCATGGCGACGCCGCGCGCGGCCCCACAAGGCCCCGCGGCCGCTCCCGGCAGCCCCGCGCGGAGCGGGCGGCGAGCGCAGGCAGCGCGGCGGCCCGAGGGACCGGCCCGGCCCGGCCCGGCGGGTGAGGCGCCGGCGGGTCAGCGCCGCGGCGGGCGTGGGACAGCCCGGGGCAGGGAGGGCGCCGCGCCGGGGGTTCCAGGGCCGGGGCTGGGCAAGGGGCAAAGCGCCGGGCCGGCTCGCTGGGGCTGAGCGGAGAGGGCGCGCCCGGAGTTCGCTGTCCCGTCCCGGGCGGGGTGTAGCAGTGGCGGGTCCTGCCGAGGAGAGGACGGATTTGTGCTTGTTTAAAAAATTTGTTTATTAGTAAAAGCCGTGTGAGGCACAGCAAGCGCGGTGTGCGGTGTGCCTGATGCGCTGCACCGTGCTGTGCTTCAAGGACAGCGGCACATGCGGTGCTTTTGGTGGCGCTGGGGACTGATGTTCTGTCTCTGAGCCTGCTTTGTCTCTCATGTAGCCTTTTGTCCCTGAAAGAGCCCTTTGTTTCTTTGTATCTCGGCTCTCTCCTGCTGGTTATCCTTGCCTCTCTTGTAAGTAGTTTTTAATCTTCCAAAATTGGTTTTCACCTGTTCAGCTTCTGCTTGACTTGTTTTATTTACAGAATCGTTGGTCATTGTTGATACAGTATAACTGATTAATAGCTCAACCCTAAGAAAAGGGCTAAACAGTACCTAAATCAGTGGGGATAATAGTAGATGACACCCAAATTTGAGCAGACTGACTCGTGACTTTTCTGCATCAAAACTGTAAAACGCTGAATCACAAAGGTTATCTATACAGTCTGAAAACTTTACGTGGCCCAAGAGGCAACTGTGATTACCTGATTGCCTGTGTATTTTCTTTTTTCAGGCTTATGATCACCATGGCTGCAGTGGATCGATTCTCCCTTTTGTACAGAGAAATCAGTCGCTCTTGCAGTTTCTATATGGAAGCCCTGGCTATTGTTGGAGCTTGGTACACAGTGAGAAAGTGTGTGTCTCTGGCGTTGGACACTTACGGCGTGCTCAGGCTGCACGTTATTCCAAAGCTGAGTGGGGAGACTGATCTTGTCAAGAAGTACGGGAAATGGGCTGTGGTCACGGGTAAGAGATTAAGTAGTGAATTTGCTTGTGTTTGTGTAACATACTGTGCCAGTACTGTGAAACCTGGTGGCTTGTGGTGCTGAGATTTATGTCACAGGCTGGGGCCTGTATTATCTCTGGTTGCAGCTTAATCTGCCTGAGCAGTGGCTATTGTTTATTGCCTTTATAAATTAATTCCTTAAGAGGTGGGCAGGCTAAGTGAGTTGACTGACTGCTGAGAAAGAATTGCAGCAATTGTTGCCCAAATTTGCAAGGTGCGTCTTGATCACCTGCAAGTGTCAACAGAGATGTAGACAAGATCCTTTTTTTGCTGTGGTGTGCTCATATGTGCCCTAGTTCTTCAGCAATGTTTGAGTTGTGTACCTCTGACATCCCTGCCTTTCATTGAGGTTCTCCTTTAAGCTCTCTCTTGGTGTCATAGAAAATATGAAACTTATGAGGGGAGTTGCAGAAGGTGATTGATAGTGTTGTCTTTACTGTTTTGTCTTTGAATTCAATTTATTTAGTGCCACATGATCTCAGAAAAAAAAAGAATAAAGCTATAATTGAAAGAACTGTCAAAGTAGAAGGCTGATGCTGCTCTGTTTTTCACAGGTGTGTTCTATTGCTGTTTTCTCTTGTAGGTAGCACAGATGGTATTGGAAAGGCTTATGCTGAACAACTGGCAAAGCGTGGTGTCAACATCATCTTAGTCAGCCGAAACAAAGAGAAGCTGGAGGCTGTATCCAGGAGCATATCTGAAACCTATAAAGTGGAAACAGATTTCATAGTAGTTGATTTCAGCAAGGGACGTGAGCTTTACCCAGCCATTAAGGAGGCTCTGAAAGACAGAGAAATTGGGATTTTGGTGAATAATGTAGGAATATTTTATGCCCACACAGACTATTTTACTAATCTATCTGAAGATATGCTATGGGACTTGATCCATGTAAATATTGCTTCTGCTACCATGATGACACACATCGTGCTGCCAGGCATGGTAAAGAAGAAGAAAGGGGCAATTGTGAACCTTTCTTCAGGATTCTGTTGTCAGCCAGCACCAATGTTGACAGTCTATGGAGCCTCTAAAGTAAGTTGGGGTGTAGTGTTAAATGGCATGCACTGGAAAGTACATTATAGGTTGGAGGGGTTTTTAGAACACATTCATCAAGGATGTCAAAATACTTGAATGTTTTCTAGGGATTTGTTTAATATTGGAGGTGAATGATACATGTATTATGCAGTAAACTCTTCATCCTCAGCAGTGCTGGGCTTTGAACCAAAGTCAGTGCTGTTGGGTTTTATATGAACTGTGGCATGACAATCATTCTAGGAGAAATGTTGCCTTTCTCAGATGCACAAAGCAGAGAGACAATTCTGTGGGCCCCATTGAAAGGGTCAAGAATTTCATCTCTCTCTTCTGCAGCTGAACTGTGCACATGTACCTCAAGCCTCTTGCATACCATTATTTTGTAGCCAGAGGAGCTATAATCATGCTCAAGCCACCACTGTGACACAGAATGTGGCCTAATCAAGCTACTTTAGGTAATCCCAAGGAGTGCTGTGGCATATTTAGGGACAAGTGAAAATTATCCTTCCTGAAGAAATCCAGCCAGTAATGAATAGGACTGGGCTGCTGGGTGATGCTGGAAGAATGAATGCTCACGGTGATGGTGGATTTACACTGGATGACATGCTGCTGAATCCAGCTGGGACTGTGGAAGGATCTCACCTAGATCCAGTGTCTAAACAGAAGTGGTTATTGCTCCCAGCTGTCTGTGGCTGCCCTCTGTTGCAGCCTTGCTCCTGACTTAGCTCTTTTGTTTCCTTTGGCCTGGAGCAAAACCAGCTCTTACTACTCCAAGGTGTAAAACTCCTTGCAGACTTCCTTCAGTGTGGAAACTGGCTTACAATTACTGTTTCTGTGCAGAGTGTCTGTCCCTTTTATTATGCTAAGTGCATGTAGAACTGCACCCTGAATTAAAACAATTAAAAGGCTTGAATGAAAGAGAAGAAACACAGATGTACCAAAGTTTCTTCATTTATTTGAGATAATTAATCTAAATCCTAGATCAGCGATCCAGCTTTAAGCCTGGCTTCAGAACACAGAAGTGAGAACAAGTTGTTGTAACATCCTAAGCCTCTTTGTGCAGTAACAGTGAATAATGTTTGAATTGGTTGCCTTAGTTTTCCTTAAGCATTTGTAAGAGCATTTGTACAAGATGCTTTCCCAACAAACTGTTGGGAAAATCTTTTGCAAGGCTGGTTGGGAGCAGAAGGATATTTGCTCACAAGTTGAGTCTAAAATTCTCTTTCTCAGGGAGAATTGGCTGTGTGGCACAGCAGTAGCTTCAGCAGGGAAGGCATCAGTGTTGCTGCCCTGATAAGACTGAGCCAGGCTCATTCTTCTCTCTGATTCCAGCAGTCTCAGTTATCAGCCTTGGGCTTTTCTTGTTCTGTGAAAGTAAAATGAGCTAAAGGAGGTAATGCAGATACACATTAACTTTTTTGTATAAGAGGGTCCCAGGAAATAACTAACCTGGCTTCTGGAGAACACAATTGAATGCAAAATTCACCTGCAAATATATTGAAGCATGGGACTTTATTTTCTTCTTCTTACAGTAGCAGGTAGAGCTGGCTGTAGAGTGTCCTTGCAATGTTCCCAGACCAAATAAGTGTTTGTTTTAGATTAAATAAATGTTTTTGTATTATTTTTAGGCAGAAATTTTCAGATTGTGATAAGCAGTCTCTGTCCTGCAAGTTACTGTACCATAGCAGGTTTATAGCAAATAACACATAGAAATGCTGATAGTATTTCAGAAAATCATATTTTTATACTATTTATTAATATTCATTGAGCTGGTGCATAAAATATGTTAAAACGTTTCTGTAATTTTAATAAAACTTTGCTCTCAAATTTAATTGTTAAAAAAAAAAGAAAAAAAAGTCTCTTTCTGCTTTTGTCTTTCTAGAGCTACTTGGACTATTTCAGTAGATCACTACATTATGAGTATGCCTCTAAAGGAATTTTTATTCAGAGTCTAATACCATTTGTAACTTCTACAAATATGGTAGCATTCAGCAGCTCTATGTCGAAGAGCTCTATCTTTTTTCCTACTGCTGAACAATATGCAAGTCATGCTGTTTCTACTCTTGGGTTATCCATAAGGACCACTGGTTATTGGAAGCATGGAATACAGGTAATGGAATTCATTAAACTATTTCATGTTTGTCAGTAGAAGTAAA